GCGGGAAAAAATTGATAACAGCCTGCTGGAGGAATAAGGGGGGGGGGGGATGATGAACTCCGCGGTGACAGATCAGAGGAAGATCCGAGTAGACATGCGAAGCAAACAATGTAGCCATGGCTCAGGAGTCAATAAAAAACATAGTAACAATTTATTGATAACAAATATCCAGGAACAAGGAGGCGGAGCGTCTGAAACGCGTTGTGCCCACCCACTCTCGCCCACCTTGATCCTTCGGAGTATAGCTTTGCACTTAGAACAGATCCGGTAACAGCGCAGCCTCGTGGCATCTCACCGGCCCAGATTCTGTTTTGCGCACACTGACACGCACACGGCTCCAGCGGCTCTGCGTTACTCCATCGGTCCGACTGTCACTTCTCAGTTACCATCATGCTGCACTTCTTCTACCAAGATATAAATCTGGATATTTCTTTTCCATAAATTGTTACTATGTTTTTATTGACTCCTGTGTCCTGGATACTTTGTTTCCTTTGTTGGTATGGATGCCCCATTGTTTTATTTTCTATATTTATATTTTGGAGTAACAATTGCATTGCTGTCCTTCTAAAAACAAGGACGTTCCTAGAAGACGTTGGCTGGCCCGGGTCCCTTAAATGACTACCACACGCTTGCCCCGCCCACACGCAGGTCCTAATTTTGCTATATGGATGTAATGGGAAGCCCATCAGCAGGAAGATTTGGTTTTCTGGTATCCCATTGGGCATCTGGAATGTGGTCAACCTAAATGAATATAAGCAGATCCATATGGAGGAGCGCTCTCCGCCTTATGATGAGGCGTCCAGGAAGGTGTCGCAGTTTGTTGATGTCCTCTGCGGTCCCCAGGTCAATGTTGCATGTTTAGCTGACAGATCCTGGAGGAGCATGGAACATATCTGTGGAACAAAGACAAAAATACACCAATGTAAAACTGAACGACCCACACTCCCCTTCTCTATCACCACGGGACTCCGGAGTTGAGGGACTAAACCAAATGGAAGACTTCTCCGAAGTTGAGGGACTAAACCAAATAGAAGACTTGGACCTTCCCCTCTCATAGTCAACATGATGCCTACTCTAAAACATGCTTCCACCGCAACGCTTTTAAATACTCTGAAGAAGGAAAATCCTTGATTGTGTCCACTCCCTGAATCCCATTTATCTCAGTCATGGATCCTGGATGCCTGGAAAACCCTTTCCCCAACACGTGTCCCTTGTCTACATACAATGTCAGCCTTCACTATTCCCCGGGGAATTCCTTACACTCCCTGTGGTACAACTCCCCTTTGAGGATTCAATGGCCTATCAAGCCTACCCCCCTCAAAGTGATATCTGGAATCAATTCATAACAACAGGTTCTACTCATTTTCCAAAGTATAATACATAAGGGAGGGGGGGATATGATCTCCATGTATAATACATGGGGGGATATGATCTCCATGTATAATACATAAGGGGGGATATGATCTCCATGTATAATACATAAGGGGGAGATATGATCTCCATGTATAATACATAAGGGGGATATGATCTCCATGTATAATACATAAGGGGGGATATGATCTCCATGTATAATACATAAGGGGGATATGATCTCCATGTATAATACATAAGGGGGGATATGATCTCCATGTATAATACATAAGGGGGATATGATCTCCATGTATAATACATAAGGGGGGATATGATCTCCATGTATAATACATAAGGGGGGATATGATCTCCATGTATAATACATAAGGGGAGATATGATCTCCATGTATAATACATAAGGGGGGATATGATCACCATGTATAATACATAAGGGGGGATATGATCTCCATGTATAATACATAAGGGGGGATATGATCTCCATGTATAATACATAAGGGGGGGATATGATCTCCATGTATAATACATAAGGGGGGTATGATCTCCATGTATAATACATAAGGGGGATATGATCTCCATGTATAATACATAAGGGGGGATATGATCTCCACGTATAATACATAAGGGGGGGGATATGATCTCCACGTATAATACATAAGGGGGGGATATGATCTCCATGTATAATACATAAGGGGGGGATATGATCACCATGTATAATACATAAGGGGGGATATGATCTCCATGTATAATACATAAGGGGGATATGATCTCCATGTATAATACATAAGGGGGGATATGATCACCATGTATAATACATAAGGGGGATATGATCTCCATGTATAATACATAAGGGGGGGGATATGATCTCCATATATAATACATAAGGGGGGGATATGATCTCCATGTATAATACATAAGAGGGGGATATGATCTCCATGTATAATACATAAGGGGGGTATGATCTCCATGTATAATACATAAGGGGGGATATGATCTCCATGTATAATACATAAGGGGGGATATGATCTCCATGTATAATACATAAGGGGGGATATGATCTCCATGTATAATACATAAGGGGGGATATGATCTCCGTGTATAATACATAAGGGGGGATATGATCTCCATGTATAATACATAAGGAGGGATATGATCTCCATGTATAATATATAAGGGGGGATATGATCTCCATGTATAATACATAAGGGGGGATATGATCTCCATGTATAATACATAAGGAGGGATATGATCTCCATGTATAATACATAAGGGGGGATATGATCTCCATGTATAATACATAAGGGGGGATATGATCTCCATGTAAATACATAAGGGGGGGATATGATCTCCATGTATAATACATAAGGAGGGATATGATCTCCATGTATAATACATAAGGGGGGGATATGATCTCCATGTATAATACATAAGGGGGGATATGATCTCCATGTATAATACATAAGGGGGGATATGATCTCCATGTATAATACATAAGGGGGATATGATCTCCATGTATAACACATAAGGGGGATATGATCTCCATCTATAATACATAAGGGGGATATGATCTCCATGTATAATACATAAGGGGGGATATGATCACCATGTATAATACATAAGGGGGGATATGATCTCCATGTATAATACATAAGGGGGATATGATCTCCATCTATAATACATAAGGGGGATATGATCTCCATGTATAATACATAAGGGGGGATATGATCTCCATGTATAATACATAAGGGGGGGATATGATCTCCATGTATAATACATAAGGGGGGATATGATCTCCATGTATAATACATCAATGGTTCATATAGTGAACTCGGTGTAGAGTTCTTCCCCCTGAGGTCATCACAGAGGACAAGGGGGCGCTCTTTATGTCTGGAGGAAAAGAAATGTAATCTCCAAACCAGGGGCGGACTGACCATTTGGAAACTCGGGCACTGCCCAAGGGCTCGGGGTCAGTAGGGGGCATTATGAGATGCCCCTGCTACCTTTTTCATAGACTTTTCAGAGTTTTGGCAAGGACACAGGGGCCCCATGAGTTGTCAGTCCACCCCTGCTCCAAACACGGAAAGGTTTCTTCACAGTAAGAGCTGTGAGAATGTGGAATAGACTCCCTCCAGAGTTGGTTGTGGCCGGCTCAGTGGATTGCTGTAGGAAAGTCCTGGATTATTTCTTGGATACACAGAATATAACTGGATATAAAATTTATAGGGAAAGTTGATCCAGGGAATATCCGATTGCCTCTCGGGGGATCAGGAAGGAATTTTTTTTCCCTGCAGGAGCAAATTGGACCGTGCTTTGCTTTGATTTTGCCTTCCTCTGGATCAACTGTGGGTGTAGGATTATAACTTTTTTATTTTTAGTGGTTGAACTGGATGGACTTTTTTTTTTCAGCCAGACTAACTATGTAACTATACTGTTGCTGGTTTGTAAAAAATATTGAATATTACACATTACAATGTCTGTAGACCTGTTTTCCCTTTCTGACCTGACCTGTTAACAGATTTGTACTGCTGTTCTTCTCTGTACAACATACTATATATTTAGGAGTTCTGATTTTTTTAACTAAGTACTAAGGACAGTCAAGTTCCTCCACCCCAAACTGGCTCCTCCATGTCTTTATGGACCTTGCTTTGTGCACTGGTGTGCAGTCATGTTGGAACAGGAAGGGGCCATCCCCAAACTCCTCCCACAAAGTTGGGAGCATGAAATTGTCCAAAATGTCGCCTTAAGAGTTCCCTTCACTGGAACTAGGGGGCCAAGCCCAACCCCTGAAAAACAACCCCACACCATAATCCCCCCTCCAACAAACTTTACACTTGGTCCAATGCAGTCAGGCAAGTACCGTTCTCCTGGCAACCACCAAACCCAGACACGCCCATCGGATTGCCAGACCGAGAAGCGTGATTGGTCACTCCAGAGAACACGCCTCCCCTGCTCTAGAGTCCAGTGGCGGCGTTCTTTACACCATGGCATCCGACGCTTTGCATTGCACTTGGTGATGGAAGGCTTGGATGCAGCTGCTCGGCCATGGAAACCCATTCCATGAAGCTCTCTACGCACTGTTGTTGGGCTCATCTGAAGGCCACACCAAGTTTGGAGGTCTTTAGCTATTGACTCTGCAGACAGTTGGTGACTTCTGCGCACTGTGCGCTTCAGCATGCGCTGACCCCGCCCTGTCATGTGACGTGGCCTACCACTTGGTGGCTGAGTGGCTGTTGTTCCCAGTTGCTTCCACTTTGTTATAATCCCACTAACAGTTGAGCGTGGAATATTTATTAGCCAGGAAATGTCACGGATGGACTTATTGCCCAGGTGGCCACCTATCACGGGGACCACACTTGGAGTCACTGAGCTCCTGAGAGCGACCCATTCTTTCACCAATGTTTGTAGAAGCAGTCTGCATGCCTAGGGGCTTGATTGTATACACCTGTGTCCATGGAGGGGATTGGAACACCTGAATCACATGATTGGGAGGGGATTGGAACACCTGAATCACATGATATGGAGGGGATTGGAACACCTGAATCACATGATTGGAGGGGATTGGAACACCGGAATCACATGACTGGGAGGGGATTGGAACACCTGAATCACATGATTGGAGGGGATTGGAACACCTGAATCACATGATTGGGAGGGGATTGGAACACCTAAATCACATGACTGGGAGGGGATTGGAACACCTGAATCACATGATTGGAGGGGATTGGAACACCTGAATCACATGATTTGGAGGGGATTGGAACACCTGAATTACATGATTGGAGGGGATTGGAACACCTGAATCACATGATATGGAGGGGATTGGAACACCTGAATCACATGATTAGGAGGGGATTGGAACACCTGAATCACATGATTTGGAGGAGATTGGAACACCTGAATCACATGATTTGGAGGGGATTGGAACACCTCAATCACATGATTGGAGGGGATTGGAACACCTGAAATCACATGATTGGGAGGGGATTGGAACACCTGAATCACATGATTAAGAGGGGATTGGAACACCTGAATAACATGATTAAGAGGGGATTGGAACACCTGAATCACATGATTTGGAGGGCGGGCCCAATACTCTCGGCATTATAGTGTATCTATCTATGGCCAGCTAAGTCCTCATGCACACTGGATGCCTCTCTAGAAACCCTCTAGTTCTGGGGGTCCCTCCAAAAAAAGCTGATGAAAGCCTGTGTGTGTACGGACGCATAGGATAACATGCTGGGGAGGTTACTGGCTGTAGAAAAAAATGCCAAAAGCCAAAACTAGCCGCTGTAAAAACGTCCTGTGTGCAGGAGGACTAAAAGGTGAAACTGTCCTATAACTGTCCCACAGGCCTCTGTATGGCGGGACAGGCACTGCGCTGAGTGGGGAGGGGGTGATGGGGCGGGTGATGAGGGCGTACATGGGGGGGCGGGTTCTACAAACAATAGAAGCTCCTTTGTTGTGTGGATTAGTATCTCTCCATAGTGCCCTCAGCTCACACATTCCGCAATGTTTACAGATCACTCCTATCTTCTGAGATCTGGAATGAAGAACAGGTTCTACAGCAGCTCTGATGGGAAGAGACCCAATTATAGGAAACCCCCCCAGGGGTACAAGAGGAACCTGTCTGCAAAGTCATGGTCCACCGACACCAACAGCAAGAATCAACAAAGGGTCATGGCTGCCTGGAAGAATTAAAGATGGTAGAACTTCTTCAGCAGAGCAGAGTATTTCAGGAGAGGAGTTATAGAGGAAGGAGAGGAGTCCTCCAGCAGAGCAGAGTATTTCAGGAGAGGAGAGTTATAGAGGAAGGAGAGGAGTCCTCCAGCAGTGCAGAGTATTTCAGGAGAGGAGTTATAGAGGAAGGAGCGGAGTCCTCCAGCAGTGCAGAGTAATTCAGGAGAGGAGTTATAGAGGAAGGAGCGGAGTCCTCCAGCAGTGCAGAGTATTTCAGGAGAGGAGTTATAGAGGAAGGAGAGGAGTCCTCCGGCAGTGCAGAGTATTTCAGGAGAGGAGAGTTATAGAGGAAGGAGCGGAGTCCTCCAGCAGTGCAGAGTATTTCAGGAGAGGAGTTATAGAGGAAGGAGAGGAGTCCTCCAGCAGCGCAGAGTATTTCAGGAGAGGAGTTATAGAGGAAGGAGCGGAGTCCTCCAGCAGTGCAGAGTATTTCAGGAGAGGAGTTATAGAGGAAGGAGCGGAGTCCTCCAGCAGCGCAGAGTATTTCAGGAGAGGAGTTATAGAGGAAGGAGAGGAGTCCTCCGGCAGTGCAGAGTATTTCAGGAGAGGAGAGTTATAGAGGAAGGAGCGGAGTCCTCCGGCAGTGCAGAGTATTTCAGGAGAGGAGTTATAGAGGAAGGAGCGGAGTCCTCCAGCAGAGCAGAGTATTTCAGGAGAGGAGTTATAGAGGAAGGAGCGGAGTCCTCCGGCAGCGCAGAGTATTTCAGGAGAGGAGTTATAGAGGAAGGAGCGGAGTCCTCCGGCAGTGCAGAGTATTTCAGGAGAGGAGTTATAGAGGAAGGAGCGGAGTCCTCCAGCAGTGCAGAGTATTTCAGGAGAGGAGTTATAGAGGAAGGAGCGGAGTCCTCCAGCAGTGCAGAGTATTTCAGGAGAGGAGAGATATAGAGGAAGGAGCGGAGTCCTCCAGCAGAGCAGAGTATTTCAGGAGAGGAGTTATAGAGGAAGGAGCGGAGTCCTCCAGCAGAGCAGAGTATTTCAGGAGAGGAGTTATAGAGGAAGGAGCGGAGTCCTCCAGCAGTGCAGAGTATTTCAGGAGAGGAGTTATAGAGGAAGGAGGAGCGGAGAGTCCGGAGTCCTCCAGCAGAGCAGAGTATTTCAGGAGAGGAGTTATAGAGGAAGGAGCGGAGTCCTCCAGCAGTGCAGGAGTATTTCAGGAGAGGGAGAGTTATAGAGGGAAGGAGCGGAGTCCTCCAGCAGTGCAGAGTATTTGAGGAGAGGAGAGTTATAGAGGAAGGAGCGGAGTCCTCCAGCAGTGCAGAGTATTTCAGGAGAGGAGTTATAGAGGAAGGAGCGGAGTCCTCCAGCAGTGCAGAGTATTTCAGGAGAGGAGAGTTATAGAGGAAGGAGCGGAGTCCTCCGGCAGTGCAGAGTATTTCAGGAGAGGAGTTATAGAGGAAGGAGCGGAGTCCTCCAGCAGTGCAGAGTATTTCAGGAGAGGAGTTATAGAGGAAGGAGCGGAGTCCTCCAGCAGCGCAGAGTATTTCAGGAGAGGAGTTATAGAGGAAGGAGCGGAGTCCTCCAGCAGTGCAGAGTATTTCAGGAGAGGAGTTATAGAGGAAGGAGCGGAGTCCTCCAGCAGAGCAGAGTATTTCAGGAGAGGAGTTATAGAGGAAGGAGCGGAGTCCTCCAGCAGCGCAGAGTATTTCAGGAGAGGAGTTATAGAGGAAGGAGAGGAGTCCTCCGGCAGTGCAGAGTATTTCAGGAGAGGAGAGTTATAGAGGAAGGAGCGGAGTCCTCCGGCAGTGCAGAGTATTTCAGGAGAGGAGTTATAGAGGAAGGAGCGGAGTCCTCCGGCAGTGCAGAGTATTTCAGGAGAGGAGTTATAGAGGAAGGAGCGGAGTCCTCCAGCAGCGCAGAGTATTTCAGGAGAGGAGAGTTATAGAGGAAGGAGCGGAGTCCTCCAGCAGTGCAGAGTATTTCAGGAGAGGAGAGATATAGAGGAAGGAGCGGAGTCCTCCAGCAGAGCAGAGTATTTCAGGAGAGGAGTTATAGAGGAAGGAGCGGAGTCCTCCAGCAGTGCCGAGTATTTCAGGAGAGGAGAGTTATAGAGGAAGGAGAGGAGTCCTCCAGCAGTGCAGAGTATTTCAGGAGAGGAGAGTTATAGAGGAAGGAGCGGAGTCCTCCAGCAGTGCAGAGTATTTCAGGAGAGGAGTTATAGAGGAAGGAGCGGAGTCCTCCAGCAGTGCAGAGTATTTCAGGAGAGGAGTTATAGAGGAAGGAGCGGAGTCCTCCAGCAGTGCAGAGTATTTCAGGAGAGGAGAGTTATAGAGGAAGGAGCGGAGTCCTCCAGCAGTGCAGAGTATTTCAGGAGAGGAGTTATAGAGGAAGGAGCGGAGTCCTCCAGCAGTGCAGAGTATTTCAGGAGAGGAGAGTTATAGAGGAAGGAGCGGAGTCCTCCAGCAGTGCAGAGTATTTCAGGAGAGGAGTTATAGAGGAAGGAGCGGAGTCCTCCAGCAGCGCAGAGTATTTCAGGCGAGGAGAGTTAGCTAGTGAAAGGATAGGAGAAGATGGCTTTGTCTCCTTGTTTCTAATAATTGTGGGGACAGCCATATTTTATTCCTGAATATCATGGATTGCCTAGTGATTTGCAGCACTGAATAAGGACTTTGCTTTACTCCTCATAGTTTGAAGTTCAAAAAAAGACTTACTGAGCGGCGGCTGAATCCCCTCATCACACATGGTGATGTCTGCCTGCTACTCCTCTGCATAGCGTAGTACACAGATAACCACTAGAGGGAGACTCCACTGATCTCTGTATGGTAAACTATCATGAGGATCTGCAACAGAGACCCAGAAAGAATGTAGAAATGTAATAGGAAAATATTTTGGGGGGATTGAGTACCTCCTGTATCCCCCCTTATACCTTAATAGATTGTAAGCTCTTCTACCTCCTGTATCCCCCCTTATACCCTAATAGATTGTAAGCTCTTCTACCTCCTGTATCCTCCTTATATCCTAATAGATTGTAAGCTCTTCTACCTCCTGTATCCCCCCTTATACCCTAATAGATTGTAAGCTCTTCTACCTCCTGTATCCTCCCTTATACCCTAATAGATTGTAAGCTCTTCTACCTTCTGTATCCTCCCTTATATCCTAATAGATTGTAAGCTCTTCTACCTCCTGTATCCTCCCTTATACCCTAATAGATTGTAAGCTCTTCTACCTCCTGTATCCTCCCTTATACCCTAATAGATTGTAAGCTCTTCTACCTCCTGTATCCTCCCTTATATCCTAATAGATTGTAAGCTCTTCTACCTTCTGTATCCTCCATTATACCCTAATAGAGTGTAAGCTCTTCTACCTTCTGTATCCTCCCTTATATCCTAATGGATTGTAAGCTCTTCTACCTCCTGTATCCCCCCTTATACCCCAATAGATTGTAAGCTCTTCTACCTCCTGTATCCTCCCTTATATCCAGATAGATTGTAAGCTCTTCTACCTCCTGTATCCTCCTTATACCCTAATAGATTGTAAGCTCTTCTACCTCCTGTATCCTCCCTTATACCCTAATAGATTGTAAGCTCTTCTACCTCCTGTATCCTCCCTTATACCCTAATAGATTGTAAGCTCTTCTACCTTCTGTATCCTCCCTTATACCCTAATAGAGTGTAAGCCTCCCTTATACCCTAATAGAGTGTAAGCTCTTCTACCTTCTGTATCCTCCCTTATATCCTAATGGATTGTAAGCTCTTCTACCTCCTGTATCCCCCCTTATACCCCAATAGATTGTAAGCTCTTCTACCTCCTGTATCCTCCCGTATACCCTAATAGATTGTAAGCTCTTCTACCTTCTGTATCCTCCCTTATATCCAGATAGATTGTAAGCTCTTCTACCTCCTGTATCCTCCCTTATACCCTAATAGATTGTAAGCTCTTCTACCTTCTGTATCCTCCCTTATACCCTAATAGAGTGTAAGCCTCCCTTATACCCTAATAGAGTGTAAGCTCTTCTACCTCCTGTATCCTCCCTTATACCCTAATAGAGTGTAAGCTCTTCTACCTCCTGTATCCTCCCTTATACCCTATTAGATTGTAAGCTCTTCTACCTCC